ATGATTAAGGCCCCTACATGAAGCCCGTGCCCCAAATCGGGGTCTCCGCACCCATGGGCCGAGGTTCCCCATGATGTTCAGCTCTGTCGTGGATGACACGAAGAAGACGCCCACGTGAGATTTCCGCGAGCTCCAGAGGTCCTACCAAGGCACTGGGGGGGGTCATTCTGGGGGTGTAGGATTTGGTACCTCAAGACCCCGGGGCGTATGCTGGGTTACTTTAATTTGGTCTCCACAATGCATCGGTGTCTCTGGCCCTACAAGTATCCAGCATACCCTTATTCGGATTGTGGGTTCAGGGCTTCCAGGCCGACGGAGTGGCTGGCGAGAAGTTTTGTCCTTCTTCGTAAGTTGCTGGAGAAGCTACAACGCGGCTCCAGTCGAAGATCGTGAACCTGTAGACTTTCCTTGTTGAACTCTCTGAGATTGCACGGCTGTGGCCGTTTCTGCAAGATTCCTTGGTAGGGGTTTGCCGCGAGGCAGTCAGTTTTCGCGCCGCCCCTGAGCCGTGCCCCTTGAGCCGGGCATTTGCAGGCGCTCCGCTAGAGGCCCTCGTGGCAGTGACAGGTGTGGGGGGTTTTGGTTTAGGTTTGTAGGGTCAAGGGTTTAGGGCCAGGGTGTATATCACCCCTGCTCATAGACTCTTTGTTTCAGTGGCCAAGTCTTTTTACAAAGTCAAGCCATGTCAAGCCCTTGCAACGATGAGGTTGACGTCGCGCGTGTGCGTTCAGCATCATTATGCTTAAGGTTGCCTCACCAGCCACTTGAGAGGTAGGGTCCTGCTGGTACTCTGGCAAAGCGCTGGTGTCACAATGGCCTGTACAGAGTGGTGTGCAGCCGCTCCAACGCAGCCTCGTGAGTCATATATGGCTCATCCAGAGCTCGAAAAATGGGAGGGCATGGGTCCCTTGCGCATGCTTCTGTCCTTGTGCCGTGCAGCTACGACGAAATGCGTCATCATCATGTGGAGGTTGCAGCAGCGACTTGCTCCTCACATGAATAAACGCTGGCATCCATCACCTTACACGTGCAGTGTGTGTGTGTGTGTGTGCATAGGTATGGCGGATAAGCTCAAGGTGGTCCCACACACACAGATCACAGACATCGCAGATAGATGCATCCCCAACTCCAAGGGTCTCCAGAGCCTGGTACGAAGCCTGAGAGGCTGCCGGTCTCATGAATCCCTATAGATATACCCTGCATCCATGCTCTGAACCCCGGACCTTCCACCGGTTTAGGGTTTAGGGTTTAGGGTATCCCAAAATATGGCGCGCCTCCTTGGACGGATCCTATTGGCTTGCGTGGCCCTTTCCTGCACCTCACTGACCTGGGTCCCTTCGTGCTTTGGAGTGCGCAAGATGAAGAGGGTCCTGTTTCGATCTACGGGTCTAGGTTCAAACACAGATACCAATATTTCGCTGTTCGATGCTGCAGTTTTGGGATGGCTGCTGGTTCTGCTTAAGTCTCGCATCGAAACTTTTGACTATGGCAGTAGACCACTCCAAAAATCAAGCAACAGCCATCTAGAGCACGAGTTTTGCAAAAACCCTCCATCATTCCCTGAATCCTGACCCCTAGACCCTAAACCCTAATCCCTAAACCCTAAACCCTAAACCCTAAACCCAGACCCATCCCTAGACCCTGACCCGAAAGCCAGCCAAGGCGCGGTGGTAGCCCGAGCCCGCGCCTTCGACGCGTGTCCGTGGCAAGAGAGGCATGGAGCAGACATCCGAAGACCTCAACAAACTGTCCGTGCTGCTATTCCGGGTTTCGGGTTTGGGGTTTAGGGTTTGGGGTTTAGGGTTTAGGGTCTAGGGTTTAGGGCGGATATCAGTGCTAGAACCCTCAACCCTAAACCGTATGAAGAATGGTTTCATAGCGACTCACAACTCTTGCTAAGCTGAGGTCTTTGTGGCTAGAGTGCGTGGCGGGGCTTCGACTGCTGAGTCCTCGATCCTACAAACCTTAAATCCCGTGAGGCTGGAGCTCCAAAGGTTTGAAGCCTATAATACCGGGGCCTCAATAATTAGATGAACCCTGACGAGTCGTATTAGTGTGGGTATAGGGGCCTCAATAAGCAGAAGAACCCCCCCCCCCCGCCGCCAAAGAGTAGTATTAGTATTGGTATAGGCGCCTCAACAATCACAAGAGCCCTACAGAATACTGGTATTCTTATGGGTAGTACAGGCTCCTGTGACACATCATGAACACTTTCTTCGCCTCGTGAGCCCGATTCCGGACAGACAAGCGTTATTCGAGTACTGGGGGCGGCTAGTGGTTCATTTGGAGAGGTTAGGAAGCCAGTATTTCAGAAGGGTTCTGTAGAAGTTCCAAAACGATCATGGACGAATCGTTGTCGCGCCGCTTTCCGATCTTGCTTGTTGTAGGTTATGGAGTTATGGGAGGTTGACTCGCAATGCAGTGCAGGATACACCTGTGCTTAGCTGCTAGCTTAGCCGCGCCGCGAAGTCGTGAAGCCATCAGTAAGCAGCCAGGCCCTAACCCTGCTCTGCAACCACATCAAAACCAGCGAAGCCGACCCACCCGTTCATCACAAATGAGCAGTCAAGGCCCGAAACCATGGAGGCTCGAAGATCTGAAATCCCACAAGCCTTGAAGTTCCTAAAGTCCTAAGCCCTTGGGTAAATATGCGAAACCATGAGCCGCCGCAAGTCTCAAGAAGCTTGCATGGGGCGCGTTTTGCGTTCCATAACTCGCAAGTTCATCCCTGCGTGTTCCCACAGACACATTTCCAATCCCTATAGTGAGGTTTAGGGTTTAGGGTTAGTGCCCTGGACTAGTATTCCATTTCGACGCCCTCTGAAGCTGTTGGCCGGGAGCAATGTCCAAGGCCCAGCGAAGAAGGGCACGAGTGCCTGAAGCCCGGCACCGCCCATTGGCGCGCACCATGTCGATTGATGTCGAAGTGGGACTGATCAGTGGGCAGAAAGCCACTGTGCGAGCCGCCTTGGATGAGACGGTGGGAACGTTGAAACGGCGGGCACAAGTTGCATTAGGAGTCGGGACAGGGCGGCTCTTGAACTCATCTGGACGCGTCCTGGAAGGAGATGTGCGGATCAAGAAAGCAAGGGTACAGAATGGGGACTACCTGACCTTGTTGCGCACCAAAAGGGTTCAAGTTCAAGCCTCTAATGGCGCGTTTGCTGCCATGTTTGATGGCGGATCCGTCCTGACCTGGGGTGAACCTGAGTTCGGTGGCGACAGCAGCGCTGTGCAAACGCAGCTGAAGAATGTGCAGCAGATTCAAGCCACTGGTGGCGCATTTGCTGCTGTTCTTGACGATGGATCTGTCGTCACCTGGGGTGAGGCTGACTCGGGTGGCGACAGCAGCGCTGTGCAGACTCAGCTGAAGAATGTGCAGCAGATTTGTGCCTCCCGTTACGGCGCTTTTGCTGCCATTCTGGATGACGGATTCGTCGTGACCTGGGGTGATGCAAATTGTGGGGGCGACAGTAATGCTGTGAAGGGTCAGTTGAAGAATGTGCAGCAGATTCAAGCATCTGATGGTGCTTTCGCTGCCATTCTCGGGGACGGACGCGTTGTGACCTGGGGACACGCTGGTGACGGTGGTGACAGTCGCGCTGTGCAGGATCAGCTCAAAAATGTGCAGCAGATACAAGCCTCTAGGAGTGCTTTTGCCGCCATTCTGGACGATGGATCTGTTCTGACCTGGGGTCATGCTGCCTGTGGTGGCGACAGCAATGCTGTGCAGGGCCAGCTGAAACAAGTGCAGCAGATCCAAGCTACTGCCAGCGCTTTTGCTGCTATTCTTGGCGATAGTTCGGTTGTGACCTGGGGTAATGCTGACTGTGGGGGCGATAGCAGCGCTGTGCAGGGCCAGCTGAGGGATGTGCAGCAGATCCAAGCCTCTGCAGGCGCTTTTGCTGCTATTCTTGACGATGGATCTGTCGTCACCTGGGGTGATGCTGAGGTCGGCGCCGACAGCAGCCATGTGCAGGAACAGCTGAAGAATGTGCAGCAGATCCAGGCCACTGCTGCTGCTTTTGCTGCCATTCTTGACGATGGATCCGTCGTCACCTGGGGTGATGCTGAGTTCGGCGCCGACAGCAGCGATGTGCAGACTCAGCTGAAGAATGTGCAGCAGATTCAAGCCACTTCTGCTGCTTTTGCTGCCATTCTTAGCTGTGGATCCATTGTCACCTGGGGTGATGAACACTTCGGTGGTGACCTCGGGATCAGCTTTCTGGACCAGCAATAGATGGCAAGGACTTCCACAGGCACAGGCACATCGAAGACACGGCTGGCTCCACCTCTATAGACCCTAGTTTTTTTGCATGCCTCCGAAGATCCCACTGACTGAGAGACATGAGTTTCGCCCGGAGTGCTTGCAAGGCAGATCTCGAAGAGAGTCCTGCCCGACGAAAGAAGTGGGCCTAAAGCACTAAAACTTCGAGTGAAGCCTTTAATTCCCAACGCAAGCCCTCAGACAATGCAAGGGCGGAGAAAACTAAGCCGGGCACAGAACTTGAGGGCAGCTGGATCGTCATGATTGCGCCTAGCATAACAGGAAATCTCAAAGCTCAACACCAAACAAGCCTTAAAAGCAAACAGACACCACTGGCACAGAGGAACCGCAAGCTCCTCGACCTAAGCCGTTGATCTGTAATAAATTTGGAGCCCTCAGCCCTAACCCCAAGCGTCCGAGTCCCAGTACCTTGTATTCACATGCTTCTAAGTGCTAACCTGCAGTGTTACTATCCTAAAGCCTTAAGTGCCAATTGCCGAGTCCTCTGGACCCGTGGAGTAAGCCACAACACAGCCGATTTGCACAAAAGACAGCTGGAATACCTTGGGCTTCAGATTGCAAAAAACTGACTTTCCGGCCTTCCTGTGGCAAGGGGATTTGGGACTTCGGGCTTCGAAGATTTTGGGGCTCAGAGGCTTATGGCTTCAGGCCCTCCGGACTCTTCGGAGGTAGAGTTGCAAGCGCGGGGTCTCGGTGTGAGCCTAAACGTCAAAGCATCGAACTTTGAACCCCTGGGCCGCCTGCACCCTTAGAATAAAACCTCCTGGACGGCGTCAACCCTAAACCCTCTAAGGAACCCCAAGCATGGCCGCAAACAGTATACTCTTGGTTCTAAGCAATTCCAAAGAAAGATCTCCGATGTCGAAACTGAAAGCTACGACGCAGGCTACGTTCTGTTGTCCTCGCCCTCGCAGCAGTAGCAGCAGCAGCCGCAGCAACAGCAACAGCAACAGCAACAGCAACAGCAACAGCAACAGCAACAGCAACAGCAACAGCAGCAGCAGCAGCAGCAGCAGCAGCAGCAGCAGCAGCAGCAGCAACAACTACAATACTTGTTATGACAATCATAATAGCCAGGAAAAGAAGACTGCCAATGATGATGACAGTGAGAAACTGAAAGTAATGATCATACTACTTGGAATAATGAATGACGATATTAACACCGCTAACTAACAGCAACAGTAGCAACTACAAGTACAACTGCAATAATGATAAGAACAACAACAATAGCAATAGCAGCCACGATCATAGCAGTCGCAGGAACCATGCAAAGAGCAAAAACAGCTAGGGCAATACCCACGCGGATAGTGATAGTAGTCTTCAGGCATCATCTCCCAGCATTTTCCAACAACCCTAGCCACACGGTTTGACACGAATCCTAAACTAGTAGGGTTTGGAATAATGCCCAAACTAGTTTAGACCCTATAATACGTATAAGCCCTATACCTATAGTCTCCATTGTAGTTCCTTTTTGGGGATACCTTATAAACTCGTTAATATATATTTGGTTAAACCAAAAAAAGGGAACTACAATGGAGACTATAGGCTATAAACCCAAAACCTCAACAGCTCTTCGGTTTCGTTGCCGGGTCGTTGCTGGGAGGCGGCGCGTGAGAAAACCTTGAGCCCCGAGGAACTCAAGGAGCCGGGGGAGCATCGCTTTCGGATGCAGGGGGTGCATTACATGTAGGTTTTAGAGAATTTTAGGGGTGTGATTTTTGTTTAGGGTTCAGGGTTTTGTTTCTCAGCTTCGGAGGTTTTGGGGCTTTGGCAGTTTCGGGTTTTGGATTTAGCTGTAGGGCGTTGGGTTTTCAGGTATCTGGGATGCAATATCTAAACTCGTTGTTGCCAGCAGGTGCTTATTGTCTTCTGGTCTAGTCAGCGTTCAGGGGTTGGCTGCTGTCACTAGAGGCCCTTGAAGTCTTTGATGAGTGACTGTGCCGCATCTTGCCAGGCAGGTTGCCTGCTGTCCTTCCGCCAAGCACCAGCTTGTGCCAGAATCCCGAGTTGCAGGAGCAAGAAGAGCAGGAGCAAGCGGCCGGATCGCCCTTCCGCTTTCGCAACGAGTACTTGGTGGCGCTGCTGGTGCTGATTGTTGCGGGCACTGTGTTCAACCCTTTCCAGTGAGCCACTCGCGGAACCTGCGTTCAAGGAATGGGAACTCCATGCCCAATCGCCGTAATTATTGCGCAGCTGCCTAAACTGCTTTGAGGGAGGTGTGGGCTCCTGTGAAGTATGTATACACCGCCCATCGCTGCAAGTTTTTAAAAGCTGCCAAAGCTTTCAAGCAGCTGCCCACGCGCATAGATCTTAGCTTTATGACGAGCTGCAGACTGCTGCTAGCTACAGCCGACGGAAAAGAGAATATAGGCGCCTAAATAATTACCTATACGATTTCGGGGGTTCCTTATTTTGACTATAGTATCAAAGCACCCCCAAAACCCCTTTCTTATAGGCATTAAGGCTCCTATGTTCGGCCATTGCGGCTTGGTTTCCTTGCAGGGCCATGCTTGATCTTTGCCACTCGAGGCAAAGCGCTGTTTACCGAGTCGGGTCCATTCTGCTGTCCATAAATCCATATTGGGGGCTTCCGAAAATTAGGGCGCCTTATTTTGGGGTCCTTATAATAAGGATTAGGGTACTATATTAGGGTCCCCTATTTTCGGAAACTCCCATATTATGACCAGCCCTTGCGCGAACAGCTGCCGTAGGTGAGCTTACTAGTTAGTATGCGATGAAGTTGCTACAGCTTTCGAACCAGCGGAACCTTGTCATGTTTTGGGCCTACCTGCAAGACCCGGCCCTTTTTTTGGACCCAAAATGTCAACCAAGACTCATGAACGTGAGGTCTTCAATATTGGCTCTCATGATGGATCGAGGTCTTGGAACAGCATCCTACACGCTGCCTGCATGGTCCACTCCTCCTAAACCGCTCTGCGCGCTTCGTTGCGACCTCCCCTCGCAGAATTTTTGGGCTCACGACGCTTCTTTATCCTGGCTGCTGTGTTCAGCAGGATGCTCTCAAGGCCAGGATCTTTGTCACGTCTTGTAGGGGTCGGCAAAAGTAGTATGTAAAAGTAATCCCTGGTATAGCTGTAGTATAGTATCCCCGAAAACCTTATTCGCTTCTACAGTATGCCCATGCGCATACAACAATTCAAAACCTCCACCCGCAACGCAGGGTTTTCTGCATTAGGAAGCGGGGGGGCCTTGTTGTACGGCTGCTTGTTTGAGCTTTTGTGTTGAAGGTTCGCAAGTCGCAATCTATATCCGCGCCAAAGCCAGAACTGTCAGCCGCTCTTTGTGTTTGAAGCTGCTTTCAGTTGTTGGGGCAGGATTCGGGCTTAGGTTGTGGGCTTAGGGTTGGACCGCGGCGTTCCGGTGTGGGCTTCATAGTTTAGAGAGGATTGAATGGGCTCAGGGCCCAAACCCTAAACCCTAAACCCTAAACCCTAAACCAAAACCCTAAACCCTAAACCCTAAACCGTGGAGCTTTCATGCTGTGACTTTGAAGGTCTCAAGGCCCATAGGCCTTCAGTCTCAATCCTTGTCAGCCCTGACCTTGCAGCCACAGGGCCCGAAGTGGTCCTAGGGCTTTGGGTTTAGGGTTTAGGGTTTAGGGTTTAGGGCCTACTAAATCTGGACAGCCTGAAGCCAAGTGTTGAAATCGTAAGCCCTGGTAATATCCACTAAATCCTGAAGACTCCGAAGGCGCACGTCCAATGAACCCCACATCCGCAAGATGCAAAAGCCCGATGGCCTACACTTCTAACTACGACCTTATAGGCCTTAAGGCATTGAGCCCTAAACCCGTAAGCTCTACATGTTTGATTCACGAAGCATTCAGGACGCGAAACCCTGAACCCGAGCCTTGTAAGACCTAGAAGACCTTGCTATACACCAAACAAATCAGGCTTTGGGGGTACAGTATACTATAGCTACCGTCATACCACCACCCCTAAATCCCATAAGCCCTAGTAATCACAGCTCAGGAAACAGGTCCTGAAGCAAACAAAAGCCCCCAAAGAAGGCACCCCAAACCCTAAACCCTAAACCCCTAAACCCCTAAACCCCTAAACCCCTAAACCCCTAAACCCTAACCCCCTAAACCCTAACCCCCTAAACCCTAAACCCCTAAACCCCTAAACCCTAACCCCCTAAACCCTAAGCCCCTCAACCCTAAACCCTAAACCCCCTAAACCCTAAACCCCTAACCCCTAAACCCTAAACCCCTAACCCCCTAAACCGACTGCATTCGTAACCGAAGGCGCAACTCTCAGGCTGCTCGGGGCTCTGCTTTTTCCTTTTGAAACTGTCGGTTTTCCACTGGGCTTTTGGAGTTTGGGTCATATAGGCTGGGGTGTTCTTGGAATTATTTTTTGTTTTAAGGACTATAACCCCTATATAACCATATATAACCCATAAGAATTTAATTTTTATAGGGCTTCTGAATCCGGCCCAGTAGGGGCCTTGATAATCTATACTTTTGTTGGGGGTTTCATTTTCATCGTTATAGTATAACATACCGCAAAACCTTATTCTAACAGAATCGTATAGTCTAGTATAGTACAGTTCAGTCTGGTCTAGTAAACTGCAGTAGGGGTCGAAGATTTGGTTTAGTTCAGGCTTGAGAGTTGCAGGTTAGTATTTAGGATTCAGGGCTGAGTAACTTATGTGAGGTTTAGGGTATTAGGGTTAGGTTTATGGCATTAGGGTTTAGGGTTTAGGGTTTTGGAGTTCAGTGTTTATTCGGGTTTAATTAGGGTGTTAGGGTTTAGGGCCAAGGACCCTACTACTTACAGTTTATAGTCTCTTGGACGTTTCCGCAACTGTTGGGAATCCGACTAACTCATTGCTTCGGGCATAGGACTTTCGGTTTCAGGAGTCTTGGCTTAAGGCTTGCTGCTGGGTCTTCGGGTCACATCTAGTACTACAGAATCCTTAAGGGAGGGTGGCTCAAGGGGGGAGGGTCCTAGGGATCCTTAGGGATTTTTAGGGAACCTAAGGGAGTACCAGGGAGAATTGGGATTACAGGGTTATATACCCCCCTTAGAACCCCCTCCCTTAAGGATTCCATAATACTTAGTAGATGCACAAGATATGGCAGCAACCCTAAACCCTAAACCCTACTGTAGGTTTTCCCTTTTTTGATGCCCAAAAGCGGCCCGCTACCTGAAGTCAAACTTCCGAACATTCCTACCTATAGTCTCCATTGTAGTTCCTTTTTTTGGTTTTTTAACCAAATCTATAAGGATCCCAGGGTTACGGGCATACTAGGGGCCCATGGTTTCAACCTTTTAATAGTAAGGGTGTAGAGCTCACAATGGAGACTATAGGTAGAACCCATCAGAAACCCTTCGACACACCTCTAACAGTTGGTGCCTTCCCTTGTAATGAGCTCCTAAGAGGTCACAAGGACATAAAAGACCGCAGGGGTTTTCGCAAGGAGCGTTTAATTGGAATGTGCTTGTAACCCACGCCTGCCAGCAAATTTCAGCAATGTGTATTTATGCTTGTTGAAGGGACTATGTAGGATCATCTTGCCTTGAAGCTTAGGGCATTGCTGTAAATACCAGTGTTTTGGGTATGGTCGCGAAAGGCATGGACGCTTG